CTCTAGTTATATTATATAAAAGAAAGCTGCCTTATCTATTAGCATAAGTGTTACTATTAAGTATATTATCTATATACTAAACTTATAAATTACCTCTCTAAGCTTTCTAAGTTATAGTTAGAAGCTTTATAACCTCTTAAGTATAATATAGTATTTATCTATAATAATATAGTCTAGCGCTTGCTTCCCTTCTAGCTATATAATAAAGTCTTTAAACCCCTTTATAATAGCTAACTTAAGTGTAATAAAGATAATAAATACTACTTAGTTATTTTTTTAGCTTTATTATATATAAGATATAATCCCCACCTTAACGTATTACTTATATAGATCTAACTATAGCGCTATTAGTAGCGTTATAATTACTATTACTCTATTTAGTAAGTAGAATACTAGCAGTATAAATAAGATACTTTTACTACTACTTATCCTTATTACTTATATAATTAGTATATACTTACTAGTAATAATAAGTACTACTTCTCTCTAGTTCTTATAGAATATTACTAAGTTATTACCTATTATCTACTATAGCTAGCCTTCTAAGTTAATTCTCTTTAGCTTCTTAAATTATTAGAGCTTAGCTATAAGCTATAGCCTTTTATATACTTCTATCTTTTTCCTCTTATAGCTTATAGGACCTTATTTTAACTTTAAACCTTTAGCACTAAAGCTTAGAAACTTATACTACTAATAGCTAACTTAGTAGAATTATTACTACCTTACTATAAGACTGCTACTAAACTATATAAGCTCTTATATATAAATTATACCTACTATCTATATATTATGCTCTACCTATAAGTCTTATAAGCTATCTTTAACCTTATCTATCCTCTCTTCTGATCTTATACTAGCGTTATCTCTACCTAGCTAGCTAAACAACTTATTTAAGTAGTAGTTAGTAATATTAATAGTAATATACTACTATATGCTTATATTAACCTAATATCTTAATAGTTTTATACTAATCTACTATATAATCTACTATACTTTATCTATTATTTATATTTACTCCTCTTTTTATATTTAGTTACTTATACTTATACTTTTATCCTTAGTCTTATCTATATTTATATTATAATTATTACTATCTTTAATATCTATATTATTATTACTTTACTCTTCTATTTCTACTACTATACTACTTTTTTCTAAGTCCCTTTACTAAATAATATTATCTACCTATATAAATATACTATATCTACTAGCCTTATATATAATGCTCTATACCTTCTATTAGAATAGTAATATAAGCTAGAGAAACTATATAATAAGCTTACTAACCTCTCTTAGGAGATATTAGTAGATTACCTTTACTTACCTAGTTATTTAGTATCTTTTATAATATATTATGATAAAGTATAATATTTTGTTATATATTATAATATTATAAATACCCTTATTAACTATATTAACTATCTACAGACCTATAAGTTTGCTTACTTATGCTAGCTATCTGCTAAGTATATATAGAAGTATTTATAGTTACTTATAGAGTTATTTAAACGTCCTATTAAACTTCTATATAGCTAACAGCTAGAATAGCTAGTCTATTATCTTATAACTATTACTTATGCTACTTAGTCTTTATTATTCTATAGTAGTAGGTAACTACGCTAGCTATATAAATAGCTAGCTATCTTTAGTAGAAACCTAGCTATTATAGTTATTAGCGAGAAATAAGTATTTAGGCTTTATCTTACTATAGTTATTTTTAATTAATAACTATAGGATAGCTAGTAGCTATAATTAGATATTGCTTTCTAAACTATTTACTAAACTTAAATCCTCTATTATTATTAGCTTTATAAGCAGCTCTTATGTCTTTTAGACTAGCTTATATAGTGCGTCTAATAGCTACCTTATTATAAACTATATCTATTTATATAATATATAATTACTAACCTAGTTAATAATACTAGCTGCTACTATGTTATATTAGATATATATCCTATATATCTATATTTTAAGAATTTAGTCTATTAGTATTAGTTTTATATTTTTATTACTTATTATTTGCGTTATAAACTACTATACTTTTACTTATATATATTAGAATAAACTTTACGTTATATCCTCTACTTTATTCTTCTTTAGAGATATTTCTAGCTTAGCAACCTCATTATAATACTTAGTATATACCTAATAGATTACTAATATATATGCTATCTTAACTATAGCTAAGTACTTTATTATATAGTTTATAATCTAAACTTAGCTACTATTTTTAGTAATACTTATTACTGTGAGAGCGTTAAGAAGAGTACTACTATAGTCTCTACTTTTTAGCTAATAGTTTAGTATACTAATAAGTATATTAAGTACTATACGTTCTAGCTTCTCTTATATTTAATACCTTATCCTTATGTTAGCTACTTCTACTATCTACTTAAATAAGTTTTATACTTTTACTTATAATAGCGTTAGTTTATATAATAGCTACTTATTATTATCTATTTCCTATATATAGAACTAAATATATAGCAGATATAGCTATATACTTTTATATCTTACTTATATATTATCCTCTATATAGTTATTAAATAGCCTTCTTAGTTTAATATATACTTCTATATACTACGCCTTAAATAGTATAGCTAGCCTAATAGTATTAGGTATAAATATTACTTAAGCTTAGTTTAGTATATAGTTAACTATTATTTATATTACTTAAAGTATAACCTTATCTTTATTAATAAAAGCTATTATATTAAAAAGTATGCTAATATTAAGCCCTTTTAAGTATACTGCTTATCCTATATAGGCTAGTTATAAGCTAAGCTTTAGTTTTTTATTAGTAATATAGATTAGCTTATTATAGCTTATCTTTATATATTCTACTTAGACTTTTTAGAGATCTTAAATATAGTTTAATATTAGTTAACCTAAGCTTCTATTTAGAGCGCCTTATAGAGACTTATTAGCTATCTATCTTTAAGCTACCTTAAACTATCTACTTATAGCTTATATTAAGAAAAACTGCTAATATAGTACCCCTATTATTTATAGTAAATTTTTAGCTATAGTAGCTTTCTTATAAATATTACCCCCCTTTTGCTAATTATTCTCCTATTTATATTCTACTTAATAATACTCCTATATATTTCGCATATAGTAGTAAATATAATAGCATATATAGTAGTATAAACTGTTTATTTAGGGTAGTATAATATAGGTAACTAGCTTAACTATAGGGTCTAAGTATTAGAATAACTATAAATTAACCTAGCTATAGATAATATTTAGGATATTACTAACTACTTTAGCTATTTTTCCTCTAGCCTTAGTAGTAATTAACTAATAGTGGTTTTATAGATATATTATAATTTTATTTATTATAACTATATATTAATATAATATATATATTAGAATTAAATACTATACGTTATAGATAAATAGCTTTATATTTACTTATATAGATAGCTTACTTTAATTTACTACTATTAAATAATTCCTCTTATCCTCTCTTTATAATTTTACTTTTCTACCTCTTAATTCTATATACTTTCTCTTTAATCTACTTTCCTCTCTACTTACGTTCTATTAGTTAGTTAAGCTTTCTAGCCTAGCTAATATCTCTATTATATAATTAGCTAGTTTATATAGGGTTTACAACTATATTATAAAAACACCTACTATACTATTTACTAATTTCTAGATTTACTTTACTAAGTATAAAACTAAGAACTAGAATATTATAATCACCTTTATTTAAGCTTTAATTATATCCTATTTTTATATATTTTACTAGTAGAAATCTTAATAGCTTCTTTGCTATTAGAAAATAACAGCTTCTACCTCCTATCTGTATAGACCTACTAAATTTCTAGTGAGGGTTTTAATAGCTTCTAACGTAGGCTGTTATTACTAGTATAAGAGGGATTAATATATTATAGTAGTATATAAAGTTATAATTTAGTTTATAGATTATAAGCTATAATAGATCTATAGTTAGAGGCTAAAGTGATTAATCTTAGACTTAATAAGTAATTTATAGTAAAAGTAAATTAAAAGTATCTTAAAGATAAATATAAAATTAATTACTAAAAAGCTATAGAAGTCTAACCTTAAGTAAGACTTTAGGTTATACTATATATATAAATCCTTTTACCTAAATAAGACTACTATTTATAAATACTACTCCTCTTATTACTATAAATACTTATTCTAAAGTAGGATAAGTACTTATTTTAATATCTACTAAATACTTACTATAGATTCTTTATTTATACTTATTCCTTACTATTATATAACTTATACTATAGTTCTTTCGTTCTAAGTAAGTTCCTATTATTCCTATTAATGCTTTAGTATAAATATCCTATCCTAGCTGCTAAATAAAAATCTTAATAGCTTCTTTATTACTATTATAGTTAAAGCTACTTAATATATAATACTAAGGATATCTATATTTAATATTATATATTAAGTAGCTTTAACTATTAAACTATAAGGCTAGTAGGCAGATAGTAAGGATCTAAGTTCTACCTCTTAAGATTAATATAAAGTGTTAATATAATAATTAAATAAATAGTATAAGACTTTATATAAACGTTAATTAAGTTTATATATATTATTAGTTTTAAATTAATATTAGATATAGCGTATAAGTAATAAATCTAATAGCTATATATTATTAAGTAAGATAGAAGCCTACGTTTAAATAGGTTATTAGTTATTATAGAGTTTCTAGTAAAGCAAATAGTGATCATAAGCGATGTCTCTATTGCTATAGGTAGGCATGCTAGTCTATATGCAGGTCTAGTGAGTTAAATATCTTAAAACTGAAAACGTTACGCTTCACATCGTAAGTTTCGTGGCGCTAAGATCTTCCTCTCAGCAGGAGGTCTCTTGTTCAAGCTCGGCGGATCTGCCGATATCCTTGGCCAATAAGGTGACGTGAGCAAATCCTTAGCAACGCTTGTTAGGCTGATACAGAAACCCTCCAAAACACGCCTCAGTACATCACTATTTTCGTCATAACAGGCATCGCAAACCTTAGTACTGCTGTCGGACTTCATCCCAAGCTCAGCCTCGCTGATACCCTTCTTGCAAGCATCAATAGCCGCATGTAACTTCTCGATGGGCTTCCTGTGCAGTCTTTGGATCAATACCTCGCTCTCGTCCAGCAGGGTTGAGGATGAGGCGGAGGAGCCTTTCGTGCCAGCAGCCATTAGAAAACGCTTGGACCCATCTTTCAGAGCCTTGAAAGCGTTTCTGAGTGACGCCTGGGTGTTTGAAATATTTTCTCGCAACTCCGAGGTATTCTTGTCAGTGCCGAAGTCTGACAAACTACATATCATGCCGTCTAGGCCGTCGGCGAACACGAGCAAGGAATCCTCGTACGCGTATAGGGGCACTGATCCACGGCCTGCATCAAACGCAGTGTTGTTCGTAAGCGCGTTTTGCATTCTCACCAGGGCTTTGATGAGTTTTGCCGTGGTCATTTGCCTCCTAGGTTCCGTGGTAGTTGTAGACAGACGCCCAATGGCGTGCCTCTCGAGATAGCCCCTGATTTCCTGGGCATGAGGGCCTCCGTGTGTTTCAGCAAATCGTTCGTCTGCAATGGTGCCTGCGGACTCAAGGAGCGTTTTGGGGCCGCCAGGATGAAAGGCCAGGAAGGGCGTCATGTCGTATACTGTTCCTCCGATAGCGACCCAGCATGATTTGACAGAGTTATGGGCTGCAAGTTTTGAGAGGCTAATGATGGGGCCTTTGGGACCACTTGACGAGGACGAGCGGCAAGCGGTGGGTGAGCAGGACGGCGTTGAGCGGTTTGGTTTTTTGACCATGGTGAAGAGGTCTTGGTGCAACTGATTCCAATGCGCGGGAGGCGAGGGAATTTGGACGTGGCTGCCATCGTCGGGCTCGTCATTTGCGTTTTGTGGTTGGAGGCGTTCTTGATGCTGCTGCTGCTGCTGTGGCGACTGACCCAGTCCAAGAGCACTCATCACCGTAACCCCGAAGTCAGAGCTGCCGCAGACAAAGACATGACCACTCTTCTCCTTCACAAGCCGCCGGATAAAGTCTCGATAGTCTGTCAAATGGCGCGTCACACGTCGCCCCTCCTGGGGGAGCTTAGTCCAGATTCCCCCGCGGATTCTCAGATGAGTCTCCTGACTGAGAGCCAAGACTATGGTCAGTGGCAACGTCCTCGTAAGTTGCTCCAGGCTCTCGAGTGAACACGGGACGTGGCGAAGTGTTTTTGCAGCCACCACAAGGAGCAGCTCTCCCTGTCCGGCGCTTTTGTTTTGGCTATCATCGAGACGCTGTTTCATTGCCGCGCGGTCGTGCAGAAACCCAACCAAGGGACCAATACCCACACCCTGACCAACAAGAACCAGCGGCACGGCTAGGTCGCGGGGCTGACGGAATCGGGGAGAAGGCCACGGCCGAAGGCGCAGATGCGTGCCCGGCGCAGCGCTGCCGAGGAACGAGGATACCAGTCCCTCGGGCGAGTGTTGAGCGACTGTCAGCACAATGGTCATGCCTCCTCCTCCGACGGAGTCTACCGCCGTATCAGACACGTTAGGAATGACGCGGGCGATTGAGTAGAACCTCGGCTCGCCATCATCATCACTCTCGCCTGAGGACGTATCATGATCTTCCGAGCAAGGAGAGCCACGCAACCGTCGATGGTGTGAGGATGCTCTGTTCAGCGTCTTTCTCTTTGTCGGCGGCCAGACTTGAACTCGATCACCTGGCTCAAGCGGCAAACTTGCATCCAACTTGACGGCCACCACCACGCTTCCCTGGTAGACGCTGTGCGACTGCACATACGCGTCCTGCCATAGCGGGCGACCGCCCAGCCGTGACACCATGCCCTTCTTCATTTGCATGCTAAGCATGGCCTCGGGGCGCAACTTTGGTTTTCCATCCTCCATGGCTTTGACTTGGTCGCCACTCTTGACGCCGCTGCTTGTCGAGTGTCGCCCTGTATTCAGGGTCACGCCCGTGATGCCGACAGCCTTGACGCGGTGCCGCTCGAGGAACCAGACGTACAATTGCAAAAGACCATCCCAGGCCGCGGAGAGATGTTTGTACTGCGCCTGCTCTTCGAGGGGAACATGATTTAGCTGAGCTCGGGCAGCGGTGACGTAGTCTCTGACGCTTCCGGCGTCGTCCCCAAGAGCATCCAAGAAGGCGCGAATATTGGCCGGCAGCGTGGCCCGCCGGTCGCTCTGCATCCCTCTCAAATCACCCTTGACCTGTTGGCGGCCGATGAAGACGTCCAGCGCATGGAATAGCGGTGCATCAACGCCACTGTTTCCCAGCTCTCCGGAAGTCACCGCCCGACCCATGGCGGGATAGGTTTTTATCCAGATGACAGGGTCAAAATTGGCAGTATCGCGTGGCGTCATGGCGTCGAAGACGTGGGCGCACTTTACAATACGTGCCGCCACGCTCTCTAGACAACGCGCGACTTGGTCGGGCTGGTCGGCCAGCACGTTATTCTGCGCGAGCGCCATCGAGGATAGCGCGGGTGCAAAGACGGCCTCCATCGTGCCCTGAAGCCCCGAAGAGAGTCGCTCCTCCGACAGGCCAAAGTAGGTACTCCTCAGACTGAAGGAGCTATTACCAACAGCGTTGTTGAGAACATCATCAGCGGGTACCTGTCATGGAGAGTCAGCTGCGCTACTTTGTTTAGGTAGTATGTTTGGAGGAAATGGATCAGTACATACCCGACCAGTCATGCTTCTACCCAATCGCTCGCAAACCCTCTCCCACGTAGCAAGGATATGGCGCGGGACCAGAGACTGTCCGTCTTTGCCCTTGCCTTGCTCCTCACCAAACATGTACGCGTGGGCCAGGGCGCTCAGTACTAGCGCTGCTCGAGCCAGATGACATGGTTCCAAGTCATCCCATGCATCTGTGACTCCTTCCGCGCGATTGCCCAGGGCGTCGACAGCTTGACGCACTCGTCCCGCTCGGAGTAGCAGGGGCAGATTTCCATGAACCGCCTCCCATGGCTCCAGGGACACTGGTAGGCGTTGGCCTGAGCTTCTGGAGGAGGTCCCGCTACTAGCGGTGCGGCTTTGAGTTGATTCTTGACCTCCCAGAAACCCTCTGGTGCGGTTGAAGCATCCATCAAGGCCAGGGCCGAACCGGAGTGTTCGTGTCCCGGCTGGGAGTGAGCCTTGGCTCCGGATATTGAACTCAGTCATTGATGAGGCTCCGGATAGCTCAGTCGCCAAAGAAGCCTGGGCAAGCAAGAAGCTGGCCTTTGAAATAGGGCAGTTGATGATTGTTGAGGGGGTTGTATTTATGGAATGTTGTGTCTTCACCGGAGTGATTGGTGGCGTCAGGACGCCTTCACCTGACGTCTGGGGGACAGTGAGGGACCTTGAGGGCAGTGGGGATGGCGACCTCATGCCCATGTCCACATCCTCTTGTGGACTATTGAAAGAAGGAGGGGTTCTGGGCGGAGTCGGAGGCAAAGGCGGCGATGGGGGGTAGTGGAAGGCAGACATGGCAGTGAATGGAGCTACCAGAGCTACCAAGAAACAAAGTAGGAATTAATTTTATTAGAAGAAGAAAGATAGACAGGCTGTGGCAACGCTTTCAGATTGCTGAGGATGGCAGGATCAGGTGGCTTCGTTACTCGTAAAGATCATGTATCCAATGGCTTGGTTCTGACAGCTTCGGGTCTTCCTGGACTTTACAGGGACGATGTGTTTACATCTATATGTATGACGCTGGCACGGCAAGAAAGGCATTGTTTTCCAACTTCTCGGTGTAGTATGCGCATTCCAGCGCGTCGAACTTTGTGTCACACGTAATCCCCACTGGAAAATAACCTCATAGGCATTTTCGCACTTTTGTTCCAATTTGGAAATGTTCAGTATTAGATGATGTCCCCATCGGACCGGCACAAACAAATGACGCCGTTGTCCGGTTAACCCTCGCAAATCTGGGTCGGCAGTTCCCCGGCGGCCAGCCACCGTCCGAACATCCGGTTACTTCATCGCCAGGTTAGGTGTGCACGGCGATCATGCTCGTGCGCGATGGATATTCCCTGTCGTCAACGCACATGGTTCCAGAGACTTGGTAGTAATCCGAAAGGTTAAAAAAGAAGGAAAAAACAAAACGAACACGATCGTTCCGCTGAATATACGTCGTCCGAGCGCTGACACGTTACGCCTTGGCCCTTGGCAAAAGTCTTTTCTCCGAACTTTGACCTGCGCAAGGCACAGGTCGAGACAGGTCTAAAGACCCACCAAAATACCGTCTTTACGTAGGGAGTCGGCGCACCTACTAATAACTAGTTCTGCCCGGCACTCGCAACTGAGAGTAGTTAAGCCACTTCATGCAGACGGGAAGAGGTAACAGTTCAGGAAGTTGCGCGAGAAAGCTTCCAGGGCCCTTGGTCAACCAAGGAAGAAGGCCGAAAGCACTCACCCCAATGCCCGAGCAGCTGTCGGCTTCCTCGGCCTTGTGAATGACGGCACTTTCGGCGTCGGACTCCGGCAGCCTCCCCGTGCCATAGTTTACTAATGTCGGGGAAATCCTATTCCAGTTCGCTTTCGCCTTGCTTGCGTCATAATTCCGCCGTCATCAGGCGAACTTGTGATTACCACAGTCATGTCCACAACCTTGAACAGAGACGACTGACTCTCTTCATCTTCTTCTCTCGTACTCGCCTTACCGTACGGAGCATAACTAACACGTGGAGGAACAGCAACAAGCAGCAGCCAAGAGCGAGAACATACCCAGCACCTCGATCCAGGATCCACCAGCGCGGGCAAAATGATTCTAGGCATACCTTTCAACATTCACATGTCCAACCTGCCGGACCTCCCGAAGCTCCTTTGGACCATCGGTCTGGCCATCTTCGGAGTTTTCGTGTTACGCACCATCTACTACGTGACCCTCCATCCCCTGGCGGGATACCCAGGCCCTCTGCTCGGACGCGTCACCACCATTTACTCACTTTGGCACCGCGGCAATGGTTCCAACCATAGCTGGCTATTGTTCCTGCACAAAAGGTACGGTCACATTGTCCGCATCGGCCCAAATGAGCTGAGTTACACCCACCCGGATGCTTGGCACGATATCTATGCCAAGGCGGGAGGTGGGGGTGACATACCCAAGGACTTTGTCGGACTGGGGCCGGACATGGCGGCGCCCGAGAAGGGTATCGTGCGTGCCGACGATGCCAATCACCAGCGGCAGCGGCGGATTTTCTCGCATGCCTTTTCCGATCGTGCGGTGCTCAAGCAGGAGAGCCTCGTCCAGGGCCATGTCCACAACTTGATGGACAAGCTAGCCGATGAGGATGCCGAGCCTGCTTTTTTTCGTGGCCGCGTTGATCTCGTGACCTGGCTGAGCTACCTGGCCTTTGACATCATGGGCGACCTGATGTACGGCGAACCTCTCGGCATGCTCGATAACGACCAGTCTGCTCGCCAGTGGGTTCGCGACACGTACTCGACTATCAAAACGGTCACGCTCGGCATGGCAATGATGGGTTGGCACCCACCCCTGGGCCCGCTGCTCCTCAGATCTGTCTGGGGCAGCAGTGGCAAGCGTCGCGCCCGGCACAATCGCTTCTCGATGGATCGCGTTGATAAGCGCCTGGACCGCGGCGACGACTCCGGCAGCGACATCTGGTCCATGATTATGCAAAGCAGTGGCGATGAGAAGCGACCTGGCATCACGCGCGCCGAGATGTATTCCAATGCTGCAACATTCATGATCGGTGGCACCGAGACAACCACGGCTGCTACATCAGCTTTAACCTACCTACTGCTCACTCACCCGACGAAGATGGCCACGCTGCGCGCTGAGCTCGATGCTGCCATCAAAGATCCACGGGAGGACATGACTTTCACCAATCTACGAAAGCTGCCGTATCTTAACGCGTGCATTGAAGAAGCCATGCGTCTGTATCCACCGGCACCAACGCCTATGCCGCGCATGATTCCTCACGGGGGACGTGTCGTCTGTGGACGCTACGTGCCGGCTGGTACACGCGTTGACATTCCCCTGTATGCCATTGCACATCATCCGGACAACTTTGTCGATCCCGAGGAGTTTGTACCGGAGCGGTGGCTGAGCGATGACGACCGGCCAGCCAAGTATACTGATGACCGGAAAGAGTCCGTCAGGGTGTTTTCCGCGGGGCCAAGAGATTGTATTGGCAAAAAGTAAGTAAAATTCTCGCGCCTGTTCTTGGGTGTCTTCGCTCTCTGTGTAAGGAGTCGAGATTATTGACTACACCTCACGCAGCCTTGCATATCCCGAAATGAGGCTCATCGTGGCCAGCCTGCTGCACAACTTCGACATTGAGCTGGCTGACCCCGACTTCAAGTGGTTGGACCAGAACAGTTATGGGATTTGGGACAAGCACCCGCTTTGGGTGAAATTAGTCCCTCGTCAAGTCGAACAGGGTCACTGAATAGCCAACGTAAACATCGAAGAACGTTCTGCGAAGCAATTCAATTCATTTACCTTATTCGATTTGAATTAAACAATCTTGACTACCGGAAGTGTGATTTCTTGGTTCGACCCACGAACGATAAAAACTGCACGACAGCAGCACCAAGTGCTTGCACGTACATCCGCCGGCCCCTGAGCGCAGACCAGGCGCTCTCTATCGTGTAGGGACGTTCAACTGATCCGGTCGTTGTGACACCTCGTTAGTGTTATTGTTTTTACTTGTGATTTCCAAGTTACATAAAGTGGGTAAAAGGATGTTGAAATAAGGTAAATCGCCAACTCTTACCATGATAGGTTTAGCGCCCCTTTGGGTTTATGCTGTCATCTTGGCGTTCCTTAAGAGCTTCCGGTAGACCGGTTACTTCATCAGGCTGCATGACGACAGATTCCCAGGTGTCCCGACAGATTCCCATGTCAGGACAGTCTTTCTCAGCGCCCTACACCATCTTTTCTTCCTACTTAGACTCCGGGAATCTCCGGGCAAATTCAAATAGACTTTCCGACGCGTTGATACGAGCCCGAAAGCTTCATGCGGTCACACTTTGTTCTTGTTTTTCCGTTTTTTCTCCTTTAGGGTGTCGGGGAGCTCTTTTGACAGACGGGCCGGACTTTCAATTGACATTCTCGCGTTCATTGACGTCTTGTCAACTTAAAGACACCTAAACTTTCACTGATTCCCTTTTTTACCATTCTTGGGTTAGTTTCATCTCATCACCGATGATGGGCGACGGAGCGGGAGCTTCGAGGGGAATCCTCTTCGCCGACATTCATGCCTTGTTGCCATATAGATTACATCTGCAAGGTCATTGCAATCTATGTTCAATTGCGCTAGATGTCTACAGCACTTGATCACAGTTCATGAGCAGTAACAGGATGTGGTAAAAGTGGCTGCGTCTTGCATCTTTGTGATATCACATTCTGAAGGTCGACATCACCTTACGCCTGGATCCCTATTTATCTTAATTTTCGCAACTTAATAATCTTGGAGAGCGATCGACAATTGTTTGACCAAATCTATCGTTCTACTGACCGGTATCAACACTTAGTAATAACCGCATCTCGTTGTGGTCAATAACCATGGCTACTGCACTCCCCGCCGATGACATGGCGGAAAACGGGCGGTCGGCGGGTCGATCTTCGCGTGCGCCTCACTCCCGCTACTCTCTCGTCAGTTTTCCCGGCCTCCCCAACGACAACCGTCCTCCATCCGTGCACATCTCCGCGGACGAGTACAAGGCCATTACAGACCTCGTCGAGCTCGCCAAAAAGTTCCTTGATCAACAAGGTGGCGATGCCACGACGTCGTCGACCCAAGAAGGCTCCCTTGACGCGTCAAAGGCCCCGAAGCAGGATGGGCCTCTCGACCCCTTCGGCGCCAACTTCGACGCGCGAGAGTGGGCCAAGTCATTCTATCGCTTCCGTTCCGACAGCTGCGAAGTTCGCAAGGCGGGCGTGGCATTTCGCAAGCTTACCATCTCGGGCTACGGAGCCGACACGGCATATCAGCAAACAGTAGGCAACGCGTGGTGGCTCACGGCCGTGGCGGCTATGCGTGGTCTCTTGCGCATGAAGCGCCAACAAGTGCGCATCCTACATAATCTCGAAGGGGTGGTGAACGACGGTGAAATGCTGTGTGTTTTGGGTCCGCCGGGCAGCGGGTGTTCAACCTTCTTGCGGACAATTGCGGGAGATACGCAAGGCACACAAGTTGCAGAAAGCGCCCATCTCAACTACCGCGGCGTGAGTGCCGATGAAATGAAGCGCTATTTCAAGGGCGACGCCATCTACACCGCCGAGGAGGATGTTCATTTCCCAGCGCTATCGGTAGCGGACACGCTCTTCTTCGCGGCGCGGGCGAGGGCGCCCAAGACCCGGCCCGGGGGACTAACGGCTGATGAGTACGCACGGAGGGTGCGCGACGTGACCATGGCCATGCTTGGTATTCAGCACACGATGGAGACGCCCGTCGGCGGTACTGACGGTGACACGGTGCGTGGCGTGTCGGGTGGCGAACGCAAACGTGTGAGCATTG